GGACTTTTTGGCGTTTTCCGGGAAACTCTCTGCAGTGCTCGCTTGGGCACAGGAGTAAAAGGGCTTTTACACCAGCCTTATTCACAACACTTACCACCTGGGGAGTCTTTCTGCTGTGCCTTTTGCAATCGGACATGTCTTTCTCGTATTGGCCTTATTAGCCACCAGCATGCTTGTAACAGATGTGGATAGAGCCTCTCCCAAATCTTCATTTGCGAAGCCTAGCCATGATGACTCAGAACACAACAGTGGCAAAAGTAACTGAGATTTTAATTTGCTCTGTTAGAAAGCCCGAGGATTTATTAATCTCATGGTTTCTTCCCAACAAACCCCGGTTACTGCTGCGTGCTTGAATTTCTGGACACGTGAGCAGTTTGCCATCATCACAAAAGATGAAGTCAAGCTCCCCAATTTGGGGAAACTGCAGGTGTCCACACATCCAGCATGTGCTGGATGACAGGCCCTTCCCTGGGAAAATACAGATCAACTGAAATGGTCTGGTGGAGAGACACCAAAATGGGCAGGGGTACATGTGACTGTGAGAAAAGTGGGGGGGAACCGGGCACACAGCCTGGACAAGGGAGGATGAGGTTAATACGTGGAAAAAAGTTGCCCTGTGATATCAGGCAGGCAGTGGAGCAGGTTGCCTAATGAAGGTGTGCAGGCTCCATCCTTGAGAGATTTTAGGACCCAGCTGTAGAAAATGCTGAGCTGCCTCCTCTGATCCCAGAGATGGTCCTGCTTGCAGCAGGGGGTTGGACTGAAGATCTCCCGAGCTGCCGTCTAACCAGAGCGATTCTGTGGGAGCCTCAGGTTCTTCTGCAATGGAAAGTACATGGTTATGTCTTTTTCTGTGTGAGGCACAACCTTAAAACAAAATTTACCTGCAGATTTCAATTCTCAGCTTACAGTATATTAAAAAAAATTCTAACAAGGCTTTCTAAAACAGTTGTTTCACATTTACTTTGGTCTTTAAGAAAGTGTTTACTGAACTAGTCTGATGAGTCTTGTCTTAACTTCAAACACCTCCTTGTAGAGTGCTCTCACAATCAGAACTGTCCATCCCCTAACAGCTCCTCCTGGCCAAACCAGACAGACTTAAAGATGTCCCATCACTCTCTTAGCAGATTGCCAGTCCTCCCACTACTAAATATGTTAAATTACAGGTCTACCCCACCACCTCCCAGTCCTTGCCTGTCCCTTCTGAAGAGTTCACCACCATCCATTGCACCACTCCAGTTGTGCCAGTCATCCCACCATGTCCCCATGATGCCAACTATGCCACAGTTTTCCTGTTGCACTGTGGCTTCCAGGTCCTTCTGTTTGCTGCCCATGCTGTGGGCATTGGGGCAGATGCACTTCAGGGAGGTTATTGATCCCAATGCCTTTTTGGGGAGAGAAGCTCCAGTTCCTGAGTGACCATTCTCAGGAGCTTCCATGGTTTCTAGCACATCAGTAACACTTTCATCCTTGCTTTTGCATGGATCTCCATTCCCTACCTCTACTGAGATGGCAGACTGAAGGACCTCGCTAGCACACAGTCCCTCAGCACTGGCGTGTCACCCCCAGGATTATCTCCAGTGACCTGATTTTATCCCCTCCTCCCTTCAAATCCAGTTTAACTCTCACCCAACATGCCCTGCTAACTCCTGTGCAAAGATCCTATTCCCCTCAGAGACAGGGATGTTACCAGCACGCTTGGTGTCGGCCAAACCAACCCACGATCAAAAACCCCAACATTCTGCTGCTGGGGCAGCGTGAGGAGCAGCAAAGATGCTCAGTGCTGACTGAAACATCCAGGGGTTATCAGTGCTCCCTCCAGCACAAATCCAAAACACAGTCAGGGAAGAAATGGAACTCTTCCTCCCTGCCCAATGCAGCACATTCTCCACCTCTTATTCTATGCCATGTACATCCTGCCCAGGTCCCACACTATCCAATACCCACCACCACCCTTTGCTATCATACACAGATATCATTCCCTTTGTCTGTGGACCACTCCTGTGAAATGTCCATAAAATGCCCACAAAATGTCCACAAATGTTCACAAAATCATAGAATCACAGAATGGTTTGGGTTGGGAAGGACCTTTAAGTCATCTTGTTCCAACCCCGTGCCATGGGCAGGGATACCTTCCACTCCAAGCTCCATCCAACACTGAACACTTCCAGGGATGGGGCATATACCTGCTCCAGTGTGGCCTTCTCCATGGCTGCAGTCCTTCCAGGGGTGTACCTGCTCTGCTGTGGGTTTATCCATGGTCACACACTTCAGGGTGCTCCAGCATGACTTCCTGCACAGCCACGGATGCTTCAAGATGTACCTTCTCCAGCACGGTCTTGTCCTTGGGCCACGTTCCCTTCAGAGATACTCCTGCTGCAGCACAGACATATCCATGGCCACAGACACCTTGGGGTTTCTTGCTCCCACGTGGACACATCCACAGGTCACAGTAAGCAGAAGCAGCCACTAATGGGAACAAGACTAATTTACAGTAAAGTGAGCACAGAAGCTTTGTGGTTTTGCTTTCCCTTTCTCCTTGGCCTCCAGGGCTGCCCTGGCCAGGCTCTCTCCTCACACCGGAGCTTTCTCCTAGTCCCAGGGCTCCCCAAGAGGACAGTGTCTCCTTCCTCTTACCAGGGTCCCCCCCAGCTGGATTCCTGCCCCCAACCAGGGGCAGTGCCACTTGCCCACTCACACTCCCCCCACTACAGTAAATCCTCTGTGTGCCATCCCAGGAAGATGCAAGACCCTTCCATGTCCCCAGCACCTCCAACTCTCATCCCCTGACCCCTCATCACCCACAGGTATCTCCCCACATTTGGCTGTTGTCCATCTCCCCACTGGCTGATAGGGCCTCTCGTCTGGGGAGGATCCTGCTCCCGAGGGACGTGGACCCTGCTCCCAAGGGACATGGACCCTGCTCCTGAGGGACAGGAACCCTGCTGGTGTGTGGGGTGACAGGTGAGCACGGCCAAGGCTGTCACAGGAGCAGCCAGAGGTGGCTCAGCCAGATGAGTGATGATGTTTTGGGGGCTCACTTTGGCTTGGAAGTGAGGCTGGGAGCCCAGCTGTGGGCTGCCACCCCAGCATCACCAGTGTTGGCCCCATGGCCCCCCCTTTGTCTCTGATCCTCCAAGTGTTCCGTGCCGTGCTGTGCAGACACAGGGGTTCCCTGGGAGAGATGTTGCTGCTGATCTGAGCCACAGCCTACTGTGTCCTCAGCAGCATGAGAGAGGGATTGGTGCAAGCACCGCACCCCCGGTCAGGAGCACCCTGACCCGCACCCACGAGGCTCAGGACACACTTCTGGCTGGGATCCCAAGGGGGTTGCTCCCGGTGGGTGACACAGCAGGGCAGGTCTCAGCTGGTGCCAGCACTGGGGTCTGGGTTGGTGCTGGGACATGTGCCAAGGAGGGGCTCTGGCCAGGGATAGAGCAGGGGGTGCTTTCCTGCAGCCTGCCCTGCCTCTCTCCACAGCCACCTCCCAAGCCCCACCACCCTCCCTGAGTTGGCCCTGCTCCTGCTGCCCAACCTCCCCAGGCACTCGCAGAGTAACCAGTTGCTTCCCTGTCCACAGCACCTCGGCATCTGTGGGCTTCCCTCGGGGGCTCTGCCCTCTGCGGAGCATCTGCTGGCCAGGACCCGGCCACTGACAGCCCCCAACACTGGCAGGACCTCGACCCCATCAAGAAGACATCAGGATGGGTGTAAGGATGCAGCTGAGTGTGGGGTCTGTGAGGGGCTGTCCCAGGGATGGGGGCTGGAATCAACAGGGCTTGGGGGTGCAGCAGGGCTGTATTGGGCAGGTCCCTGCCCAGGTGGCTGCTCTGCTGCTCACCTTCTCCTGGCTCCTTAGAGTAGCTGTGGGACAGGGGTGTCCCCAGGAGTCTCCTGCGGTTCCCTGGACTGAGGGCAGCTCATGGGGGCTGCAGCTGGGGGCTTCTTCAGCCCCCTCTATCCCTCCCACATCCTGTGCTGCAGTGCAATGCCTGCAGTCCAGTCTTGCTCAAGGGGTCCAGGCTGTCCCACAGCCCAGGGGGGTCACAGCCCCCACAAGCACACGAGATAGCAGGGAGGGGGCTGGCACCAGCGACTCCAGCCCCAGTACCCAAGAGCAGGAGCCCTGCCAGGACAGCATGGTTAGGGGGGCTGCCCCATGGTGGGGCTCAGCAATGCCATGCTGGGGGACAGCCCCAGCTTCCCCCAGGTGCAGAGGGGAATGGGATGGGCCTATCTCCCCGGGGTCCCTGCACCCCAGGGCTTCCCCACGTACCCTCCTCCTCTGGGGCAGGGCACAGCCATAGGGCCAGGCATTCCCTGGGCAGAAGTGGGACTGACCATGGTTTTCCAGCACTTTGCCAGGCAGGGAGGGGGTCAGAAATGGATCCTGCCCTTTGTGGGCACCAGGGCCACTTCCTCTCCCTCCCTCCTCCTCCCACAGGTGCCCTGTGCACTCATGGGCAGCACTATCCCCAGGATGCAGGTGACAACGGGGCAGCCTCGATGTACTTTAATAAACCCTGGGGTCCCATAGCCAGCTACAGGCAAGGCTGGGGTCGGCCCAGGCACCAGAAGCCCCAGGCTCAGCAGGCTGGCACATGTGGGGCCATGTGGTCCCCACAGCAGGTCACGGAGATGGGCCTCCATGGAGGTGTCACACGCGCACGGTGCGGGGCTGTTGGAGCAGGGACCCTCACTGCGGGGCGCTCACCCCTCACGAGTTGCTCCCTGGTGTCAGCCCAGCCCCCCACTCTCCACAGTGACACAGGCTGGTGCTGGCTGGGGCCATCGCACCTCCCTGGTGTCGACACCGAGAGGACTGAGCACCACGCAGGTGAAGTTGGTGAGCAGGTGCTGGGTGTTGAAGGAGCTGAAGTGCAGGTCACGGCGCAGGGCCGCCCCCGAGCCCCGCAGCTCCTCTCTGCAGACCCAGGGGGGACCCATCAGAGCCCACCCTGGGCTGGCAGATCCAGGGTCCCTGCCCCAAATGGGGCCACCCCGCTGCCTCTGTCCCCCCATGTCCCCCGTCCCCATACTCACTGCACTGTCCCCTCGTGCACAGCCCCGTCTGGGTACAGGCTCTCCACAAAGGAGCCGTTCCCCAGCCAGTAGAGCAGCGTCAGCTCTGGGAGCCCACTTGTCGCCTCGCATGACACCGTCACGCTCTCGCCTGCAGCCGGAGGGGACGTGGGGATCAGGGGGGCTGCAAAGGTCCCCAATGCCCCCCCGTTCAGGCTGGCCACAGTCACGGTCCCTCCGCACCCCTCAACAATGGAGAATGTCCCCCCACCTCATCAGCAGCCCAAAATCTTGGCTGTGGGTGGAAGATGCACCCTGTGTGTGTGCCGGGTGCTGGTGCAGGAGCTGACCCCACTGTGCCTCCCCCAACTGGGGGGCTCACTGCAGCTTCCCCATCCCTAGGCCATCCCTGCCATGGCCCCAGGGGTCTCTCACCTGGACGGGGGGCCTCTGCTGGCATCCGCAGGATGGTGATGGTGGGGAGCTGCAGGGCCATGGCACCTGGGGGAGCAGAGTGGAGTGAGGCAGGAGGTCAAGAGCGACCCTCTGAGACCCCACATCTCTGGGGTGGGTGAGAGGGCAGGATGCCATAGAGGCATGGGAGCGCTCCTCACCCCCAGAACCCTGCACAGGCCCCTCGAGGGGCACAGAGCCCAGAGGTGACCTGGCCTCCTCGGCTCGCCCAGAAACCCCCACCTACCTGCACAGAGAGCAGCCAGGGCCCAGAAGGGTAGAAGCAGGAGGAGCCAGGCAGGGAGTCCCAGGGGCCCTGCAGGCAGAGATGGAGCTCAGTGCTGGACATGCCGGGATGCTCCCCACGAGCCTGGGATGGTTCCGTCCCCTCAGCATCCTCCCAGCTGGTCACGGTCCCTCCAGCATCTCCCCCCCAGCAACCCCTGGGCTCGTCCCCTCGCATGTCCCCAGTTAACCATGATCCACCCAGCGCCTCCCCAGCATGCCATGAGCCTGGGATGGTCCCGTTCCCCCCGGCATCCCCCTCCCGGGGTCCCTCAGATGGCGGCCGGTGCCCCCCGGGGCTGTCCCCCCGTCCCCTCCGTACGGGCAGGCCGTGGCTCAGCCATGGGGC